GCTATTATGTTGAACTAAATGATGTTGTAAAATAAATTTACTAAAAAAAAAATCACAAAAGAGTTCAAATGCAAGACACCCTGCCAGCTCACAGACTCTGGACTGACAGTTGGGGAGCCTGCATGGGACTATACTAGGCCCTCTGAATGTGGCTGACAGTTGTGTGGCTTAATCTGTTGGTGGGAGCACCTCTGGCAGTGGGATCAAGACTTATCCCAGATATATGAACTGGCTCTTTAGAGCTCATTCCCTGTGTATGGTAGGATGCCTTCCTCAGCCTTAATGCAGGGGGTAGGGGCTTGGTCCTGCCTCAACGTGGTATGCCAGACTATGTTGATTCCCCAAGAAAGGCCTTACTCCCTATGAAGAGTGGATGAAGGGTGGGGTGGGAAGAAGGTGTGTGTGTGTGTGGGAGCTGGAGAAAGGGGAACAGTAGTTGGTATATAAAATGAAAAAAATTTAAATAAAAAAGGACACCCTATTAGGCTTGAAATGGGAAGTCCTAGGAGTAGTGCATTTCAAAACAAAAACACAGTTCCAGGTGTGAGATACCTCCATAGGAGTTGTTGGACAGGGAGGCCCTGGAGGTCCCCCAAAAAATACAGGTGCATGTCATTCTTCCTGGCTCCCCATGAAAACTAATTGATAAGACCTTATTGCTGAAGACACCACACATCTTGGATATGCGATACAGAGAATTCAAACTGGAATGAGTTGGAAGCTTCCTTTGATGCTATTTGGTGTTATTCAGTCTGCTGAGGAAGAAAAGGCATCAACAGCCATCCTGCCAGTCAAGATGGTCCCACTGCTGCAATCGTGGCACAACTGTGATGGGAGCAACCCGTGCTCACTTATTACATTTCAGACCCAGTCCACAAGACAGAATCCATCACTAGCACTATAAAGTTAGTGAAACAAGCAAACCCCTATTTGTGGAGGTCTTAGTCCCTCGAGAGAAGCTACAATGGCTGCTTAGCTAAATGGACGTAGTATGAATGCCCTTCTAAATATCAATGTTTATACTTTAGATAAAGGCTACCTTCAGACTTCCTCAGAAATGACTCTCTTTGCTATGAATGTAGATGAATGCAGATACCTACCGTTGTGCAGATATTGAGAATAAGGGATGGTTGAGTGCTCATCCCTATAAGTAGATATTTATACCACACCCTTGAGACTCTAGGAACATTCTGGATGAGGAAGTGGGAATAATGTAGCAACAGAAGATATGGATAAGGGCTGTGAAGTGCTCTCTTTTAAAGATGGCATGACCATGGATGGCCATCATGAACTCATAGCACCTGCACCTACAGTCTATAGACCCATACAAGTAGAGTTTTTCCATCGGTCAACTAGACTTGGGGAAGCAGCTCACGGGGACAAAAACCACTTACTGCTAAACTATTAGCAAATGATAGATTATAGGGATAAGGGAGGTGTACATTCTATATGTCTGCCTGCTGGTTAGCACTCTAGGTATTGCGGTTAGTGTAAAACCCATGAACACACAGGTGGTCCTAGTTAAACTCTGTGAGACATAAATCAAAACTTTATGAATGTGAGAAGGATTTGTATTAAACAGGAGGGGATGCCAGGAGTAGGAGGGAGATAAAAAGATGTGTTTAGGGTGGAGTTACTAGAATGTATTGTATCTATGTATAAAATTATCAAAACAAAATTTATTTAAGAATTATGTATGGATTTGAGATTGAGTACCTCATGTTGGCAAAATTCCTTCATTTTAAAGTTGAGTTATTATGTGAACTGGAGTTAGATGCTTTGTGCATCTCAAAATCTGTCAATTCAAGGGCAGCAATGGGGGTGGAAATCAGGATACAAGATTGAGAAAATGGGTCTTACAGTATGTGGCGATTTGGATATGATGTGTTCCATTATAATGATCATGTGTTGAAGGATTAGTCTTGCAGCAGTATTCAAAGGTCATGAGGGCTGTGAATTTATGGGTGACATCATACTCTAATGCACTCATAATTGTGTGAGTACTGAGAACAGAAACTATAAGAGTGTACCTTGCAAGAAGTAGGTCACTGGAGGCATGTCCTGGAAGAGAACATCTTGCATGGACTTCATTCCTCCTCTCCTCTCCTCTCCTCTCCTCTCCTCTCCTCTCCTCTCCTCTCCTC